GGTGGAGGTTGTTCTCTTACAAACGTTGAGTGGGGTTGGGCACGATAGGTGCGAGGCATGAAAACTGGTGCATGGGGATTGAGTGGGAACACGGTCGTGGCTGCTGTTGAGCGGGGTTGGGCACGATAGGTGCAAGGTATGAAGACTGGTGCATGGGGGTTGAGTGGGAACAAGGTCGTGGCTGCTGTTGAGCAGGGTTGGGCACGATAGATGCGAGGTAAGAAGACTGGTGCATGGGGATTGAGTGGGAACACGGTCGATTAGTTGGTGGCTGTGGGCCTATTTGCCTCGCTGAAGTCCCATGGCCGAACCTGAATGGGCGCTGGCCAAAACCCATCTGCCTCGATGGCTGCACATTGGTCTTCACGGACTGTAAGCCTTGCAGCTTTTGTGCCTACATGCTTGCGAGAAGGAAAGGTGCGGCAAGCTGTGGGTGTGATGCCATTCTGGACACAGTGGGACGTTATGGAGTCTGCGTCGCAACTGTCATCAATATTGCCAACAAAGTATACTTTCCGCAGGGAGCCAAGAGAACCTCTCAGTTTGCGGCTGGTAACTGTAGTCCATTGTTCGTCGTGTTGCTGGTGTTGGTGGTGTTGGTGGTGCTGTTGTTGCTGCTGCTGCTTCTCGCGCTGTTGTTGTTGTTGTTGTTGTTGTTGTTGTTGTTGTTGTTGTCGCTGTTGGGGTCGTTGGTGCTGGTTAGTTTGCTGGCGGTGCTCCTGTGGGAGAGGTGGCTGCGCAGTGACCGATGGCTTGGAGGAGGGCCGAAGTGCTCCGTTGTCACTGGAGCTATTGAGCACTGATGCCCATACGCGCTGCCGGGTCGTGGATCTGGAAGTGCTACAACTATGGAAGAAGATAGTAAAAGCTATGGAAGCACATAGTAAGAGAATAGGATACTAATAACTGCGAGTAAACGGGGGGAGAGAGAGAATACGATGTATCTGTGATACTACGTGAGGATTACTGAACTGCACGGGGAGGGAGAGCAGAGCGATCAGCAGCAACTCGAACTACTCCCTACAGGCGAATGGTACACATGCATGCTTAAACTCAGGTAGCCGGGTAATTGTGCGGACCTCACCAGGGAGAGCGTTCCACAGCAGAGCACCAGCAACAGAAAATCTCCGCTGACCGCGGCGGCTACGGTTTGCCTGGCTTAGTAGGCCATTTGACTGCTGATGGCGGTAGGCCCCCGTGTAATATGGCGGCAGTTTTTGGAGCATTTTCGGCACAATCCGCGAACCCAGCACTTTTGGATCGTGATGCAGCATCTTGGGGGAAACGGAACACTTGGCCGTGGTGTGTGTATCAAAATTGAGAGAAGAAAAACTTCCCAAACAAGAACGTCACTTCCGCATTCCGTGGGTTAGCTTCTTGTTGAGTAGTTTATGAATTGTTTACCATGGCAGAGTCGAGCAAGTCTCTGAGTATTTTCTGACTCCCTGGTTTTGACGGCATGTGCTGAGGATGACAAAAAAAGTGAGCACTTTCCGAGCATTTTCGGCACGGTTTGGGAGCATTTTCGGCAAGGTTTACGAGAATTTCCCAGAAGCATTTTCGGCAAAGTTTCGGGCATATTACACCGGGGCCTAGATGGCGGGTATGGGTGCCTTGTGCCGGGGTCAGGAGCTGGGCGAGCACAGGGTTGGTGCGGGCGTGGATGCAGCGCCAGATGGTGATCAATACTTTCTGCCTGTAGAGCTCACTGACATGGTAAGGTGATCCACGCTAGCACCCTGACTGTGCTGCAGGCTAATAAGCAGGGCCAGGCCCAGGAAGGCAAGAAACATGATTCTCATCTTGATTCGTCACACGGATCTGCAACGGGTTGAGCCATGGGGGTCTGGGGTCGAATCACGTTGTTTTATTTAAAAATACACCGCTGCCAGCAATGTAATAGGTAGCCGAGTGGTAGGCGCAGTGCAATCAACAAGAGTTAGCTTTTATTCTTCTTCTCTCAGGTACACACCTGGGACATAATTATTAGTAAAAGAAGAAGCAGCAAATAAATAGGATTTTCTCTCCGGTGCACACCTGGAGGTTGAATACTTCTTCTTCTCGGTTTTGTCGTTGCTATAAAATCTAATGAAATCAGCAATGCGCAGCAGCTTTTATGCAACAGACGCCGTACGCTTACATACGGAGATACACTGTATATACATCAGGTAAAGTTCCGTATTAGTTCCGTATTACTTCCGTATTAGCCAGGCAGGGATACTACAAAAGTTGTATTATTTGCCGAATTTTGGGTTGTCTTTTTTGCCTTGGTTCTTACTTCATGGTTTCGCGTGATTAGCGTTGTGGATAAACCCGTTCTCAGCTATATGAATACGTAAACCACTACACATATGTGTTGGCCTACTGGCTGTGGAGTTGTTCCCCTCTCAACAGAGTGCTCTCTGAACGTCCTAGCACTATTTACGGGCACACTTCTATTATTTTAGAACACGTTCAAGTAGTTCTATGTGATTGTAAGTGTGTAGCTAGAGTCACTGATAGTATTAGTACAATGTTTCCATGGTAACACCACAATGCACGCCTTCTCTTAGTTACACACTCACACTGGGTAGACATGCGGAGTATTACATGAATTTGTACACGTGCACTGTACATTATTATGTCATCTGGGACGTCGGGTTTTCGGGTACAAGTACTATTCTGTACCCGTCTACCCAAGGTCCTCACCACAAGTCGTGTTTATGTGAAATAAAATTCATTACATGTACCTCTGCTACATGTGTACACTGGCAGATTATCATTTGCAGGCATCTTAGAGGAAGCTTCAGGCAGCTCAAGGCAGCTCAAGGCAGCTAAAGCCAACTAGAGGCAGCTAGACGCATCAAGAGAGACAACTTAGAGACAGCTAGAGGCAGATTAATCTTAGAGGCGGCTATAGGCAGGTAGAGGAGTAGAACCAACTTTTCTTGGTCAATACTGGCGGGCATCAGCGTCCTACAAGCAAACCAAAATGAAATCAATCCACCCAATCTCTTTGGAGCTGGGTCCAGATATACAGAGGTGCGTTGTCAAATGACAGCAGAGGTCAAGTCATCAAAAATTGAGGTCTTCATGCATTCCTGGCTGTTTATGAAAATTGAGGTCTTCATGCATTCCTGGCTGTTTATGAAATTGAGGTCTTCATGCATTCCTGGCTGTTTATGAAAAATTGAGGTCTTCATGCATTCCTGGCTGTTTATGAAAATTGAGGTCTTCATGCATTCCTGGCTGTTTATGAAAAAATTGAGGTCTTCATGCATTCCTGGCTGTTTATGAAAAATTGAGGTCTTCATGCATTCCTGGCTGTTTATGAAAAATTGAGGTCTTCATGCATTCCTGGCTGTTTATGAAACATTGAGGTCTTCATGCATTCCTGGCTGTTTATGAAAAATTGAGGTCTTCATGCATTCCTGGCTGTTTATGAAAAATTGAGGTCTTCATGCATTCCTGGCTGTTTATGAAAAATTGAGGTCTTCATGCATTCCTGGCTGTTTATGAAAAATTGAGGTCTTCATGCATTCCTGGCTGTTTATGAAAAATTGAGGTCTTCATGCATTCCTGGCTGTTTATGAAAATTGAGGTCTTCATGCATTCCTGGCTGTTTATGAAAATTGAGGTCTTCATGCATTCCTGGCTGTTTATAAAAATTGAGGTCTTCATGCATTCCTGGCTGTTTATGAAAAATTGAGGTCTTCATGCATTCCTGGCTGTTTATGAAAATTGAGGTCTTCATGCATTCCTGGCTGTTTATGAAAATTGAGGTCTTCATGCATTCCTGGCTGTTTATGAAAAATTGAGGTCTTCATGCATTCCTGGCTGTTTATGAAAAATTGAGGTCTTCATGCATTCCTGGCTGTTTATGAAAAATTGAGGTCTTCATGCATTCCTGGCTGTTTATGAAAATTGAGGTCTTCATGCATTCCTGGCTGTTTATGAAAATTGAGGTCTTCATGCATTCCTGGCTGTTTATGAAAATTGAGGTCTTCATGCATTCCTGGCTGTTTATGCCTCCCAGGATGACAGTAACCATTCTTCATTCCAAGAATAGCAGGGCAAAAGGTATTCAACAAAAGAAAAGAAAAAAAACATATTGCTAGAAACAACTTGTTCTGGGCTGCCTTAGGCCGCGGTCACACCGAGCTCGATTCAGCCGTTCAGCCGAAACAAGCGCTTGTTTACGTCACTATTACCATGGAAATGGCTGAAAAATGTCCTACAAGCGACTTTCAGCCGTGGCTGACTCTCAGCCGTTTTTTTCCGGCTTGTTTCAGCCACAGCTTGTACAAGCGGCTGAAAGCCGAAATTCAAAAAATAATTTGAGTGCGCTTGGAGCTCCGGAGCACACCATGTAGCTAGTTGACATGATGAACTGATATTGATGTTCTTTCTTGTGTCCGTGGAACCGTGCTATCCCTGTGCCTTTGGTTTTGACCGTGAGTCTGTCTACCCCAACTACACTGTATTCAGTTTGATTTGGATTTTGTCCGACGACCATGGATTTCTGCCGCTGTGCCTCTAGACTGCTGCGTAGATTGTTGGAGCTGTGGTTTGAGGCCAAGACAAGGCACCACACTCACGACCGAATTCATGAAGAAAGCCGGGTACGAAGAAGAGAGTGGATTGCAACCGAGTTCAATAACGGCAACCGGCGGGGCAGAAAGCTCGACATCAGGAAACACCACCTGAACCATCGCGTCCATGCACACCGAACAAATAAAAAGAGCACGACTTCGCAATTCAGAATCCGGGCTTCCTTTGCTTCTTCATCAAAACTGAACACTAGAACAAGTACAGTTTTAGATCGCGAACGTTCTACTCTCCAGTTTCTTGCAAACATTGGTGTGTTTCGAGATATTCAAAATTTGGCGGGTAAGAAAAACAAGCCATTCAAGCTTTGCACTCAAGGTCTGGTGTGACCGCGTCACAGGGATCACGCAAGCCAGCTGAGCGCCAGCGATAACAAGCCCAAAGTGGCTTGTTTTGGTGTGACCGGGGCCTTAAGCTAAAAAAAGCTGGGGCCTTGTCCCATGATTCCGGACTTTAAACTCATACCAATTTGAGCTTAGACGAATTATACAAGTCAATACATTCGGGCACCGGCGCCCTACCAGCAAACTGAAGATCAAGTCAATCCGACCACTCACGTTGCTGCTGGATCTGGATATACAGAGGTCGCTTCCAAATGACAGCATTGCTCACCTTCTCAAAAATCAACGGTTTCACACATTGCTGGCCATTCACGCCTTCAAAAATGATAGTGACCACTCTCCAAGAATTGCTGGGTAAATATATCACACAAAAGGAAAGAGAAACATTGCTATAATCAACTTACCCAAGGCTGCATAAAGTTGATGACAGTTTATCCAACTTTTGGGCTTTTCCGCATTTTACACTCAAACAAATTACAGCAGAGGCATGTATTTCACGGCCCTTTGACATCAGCTCATTTGCCGGGTGCAGCGTTCCGTCTTCTTGAGCATCATTCACGCCGCTATAAATACGCTGGAACCTGCTACATACACCCTGTAACAGATTCACTGTTACTACTAACACTAGGAATAGGATACACTTATCACCTGCTATTATCACGCTGCTGCTGTTAGGTGTTATGTCCATCATTGCTTGTTCATGTATATAAGAATGCATTATGGCAAGGATCATTGCTTATTCCAAGAATGACTACTGAAGTTAGTTGGACTGTTACACTGGTAGCAAGAGGATGGTTTTTCTTTTCGTCATGTTCGGGCTATGCGCAGTGGCCGCATTAGTCGCCTACGGTATATTCGAGATTCAGAAGCGTCTGAATCACCTTATCGCACTCGGTCAGTGCGATGGATCAGATCAAACGCCAAGAAGTGCTCAAGCTCCCAGCGGAGAGAGGCCACGCATGCGCCATGTTAAGTCTCCGCCTGTGTTTCGTGGAGATACAAGAGAGTTCAAGGAGTGGGCCTTCGCCATCGAACTCGCCATGAAGTCCCTGCAGCTGGACAACGCGGAGGAGCGCTTGAGCTACGCGGCGAGTTTTCTGGAGGGCAACGCTCGTCTTTGGTTTATCGCCTCTCAGGAGGCAAACACGCTGTTTTCCGACTGGCCAGACCTGAAGAGCAAGCTGGGAGAAGTGTACGGCCCGGTTTATGACAGGGAACAGGCGCGCATCGACTTATTCGCTCTTCACCAAGATGAGACTCTTGACGAATACATCAACAAATTTTCGCGGCTTAGCTTACAAGTTCCCGAGCTTGATGACCACTCCAGAGCTATCTTGTTCACGCGTGGGCTGGCTCAGGGCCTAAGCGGTGAGGTACTTAGGGAGCATCCGCACCATTTGGCCCAAGCCATACGAGCTGCGGTCTCAGCAGACCAGTCGATGCGGCTAGCCCAAGCAAGCTACGCCAAGGCAGTGCGCGCACCAGGGCATCAGAGGCGCCAGCCTGGACCCTGGTCAAGCCAACCAACACCATCCGGTGGGAGAGAAACCAGGGAGCCAGAGGGTCGTTCAAGGCTGTGTTTCACCTGCAGGAAACCCGGCCATATTGCCAGATTCTGTCCAGAAGGAGGGAGGAACGCCACAAGCAAGCCTTCTTTAAACGATGGACGCCAGTAAGGAAGGGAGTGCGACTACTGGCGAACACGAGAGCACCCAGGAATAGGCCACGAATCAAAGTTCAGAACAAATTCAGCCCCTTAGCAAATGAGGAACCACGCCTCGAGGAGACCGAAATTCAAGCCTCGCCTGTCAAGCATTCGTCACCTGATACTGTTGGCCGGCCTAATGAAGTAACCGCCAGCACAGGGAGCATTTCCGCCGACAACGAACACGACCTAATGCGCGTCCAGGGCAAGATAAATGGACGTCGCGTTACCATGCTACTGGATTCTGGGTCAACCCACGACTTCATTTCAACTGACCTTGTCAAGAAGCACAACATCTCCACAACAACCGGTAGCGACGTCCTGAACGTCACACTTGCTGATGGATCGGTCCGCTCACAGCCTATTACGAAAACGGACAGCTTGAAGACCGTAGTCGGCGACTTTAGCGAGCACCAACAGTTCCTAGTATTCCCTATGACGCAGTATGACGTGATCCTCGGCAAACCATGGCTGACCCGGACGAACCCACAGATCAATTTTCGTACCAATGAAATCAAGCTGGAGGGTGGATCCATCATCTGTCAACCGAGTGAAAGTGATGGCACGGACAAATCCAACCCACCGATCGAGACGTTCCTCATCTCAGGGAAGCAGGCTAGGCATGCAATGAGAGGTGGCGCAGAAGGAATCCTAGCGTATGTGACAGCAGATCCGGACGAGCCACAGACGGTGGATAGTCCGGGTAGGGAGGATCAGAAGGATTTCAAGGACCTGCTGAAGGAGTTCGGGGACGTCTTTCCCGATGAGCTTCCAAACAAGCTGCCACCCAGAAGAGGCGCAGATCACGAGATAAAAACGGAAGAAGGAGCTAAACCGCCATCTCGTGCAGCATATCGTTTACCAAAACCAGAGATGGATGAGCTTCAAGCTCAGCTCACCGAGCTGCTCCGTAGAGGATTCATCCAGCCCAGCAAATCCCCATACGGAGCCCCTGTGTTCTTCGTAAAGAAGGCGGATGGAACACTTCGAATGGTATGCGACTGGCGTGAGCTAAACCGCATAACCATTAAGAACAAGGCATGCCTACCGAATATTGACGACCTCTTTGATACCGTCCAAGGCAGTGCGTATTTCACCAAGCTAGATCTGAGGTCCGGTTACAATCAGATTCGAATAGAAGAAACAGATATTCCGAAGACAGCAATAAATACCCCATTCGGTCACTTTCAGTTCACAGTGATGGGTTTCGGCCTAACAAATGCCCCGGCAACATTCCAAACCTTGATGAACAGTGTCCTCCAGCCATACCTGCGTAAATTCGTTGTGGTGTTTCTAGACGATATCCTCATATTCAGCAAATCATGGGAGGAGCACCTCGATCATGTCAGAACCATCTTAAACGCCCTCAGGAGGAATGAGCTATATTGCAAACCGTCTAAATGTGAATTCGGCCGGACAGACGTTCTGTTTCTTGGGCACCGGATAGACGGCCAATGCATTTCTCCAGATCCAGAGAAAATTGGGGCTTGTCGCCGTGAATCTTCACTTTGCGACTAAAGTATTCACAGCAGTGCCAAAATGTCTAGGACATTGAATGTGGGTGCCAGCGGCCTACAAGCAAACAAAAAATGAAATCAATACGACCACTCACATTACAGCTGGGTCATGTTATAGAGAGATGCATTAAAATTGACAGGTGGTCAAATATGGTCAAAATTTGACAATTTCTCACCTTTCTTCCCGTTTCAAACTCAGAACTTGAATAATGACCATCCTGATCCTGTTTTATAGCTGGACATAGGGAGGTGCACCAAGAAAAAAGCCACATTTCTCTAAACAACTCGCCCAGGGCTGCTGAAACCTGAAAATAACCTATCTCCAAGTTTGGGGCTTGTCGCCGTGAATCTTCACTTTGCGACTAAAGTATTCACAGCAGTGCCAAAATTTCCAGGTCATTAAATGTGCGTGCCAGCGGCCTACCAGCAAACAAAAAATGAAATCAATACGACCACTCACATTCCAGCTGGGTTATGTTATAGGGAGATACATTTAAATTGACAGGTGGTCAAATATGGTAAAAATTTGACAATTTCTCACCTTTCTTCCCGTTTCAAGCTCAGAACATAAATATTGACCATCCAGACCCTGTTTTATAGCCGGATATAGGGAGGTGCACCAAGAAAAAGCCACATTTCTCTAAACAACTCGTCCAGGGCTGCTGAAAGCTGAAAATAACCTATCTCCAAGTTTGGGGCTTGTCGCCGTGAATCTTCACTTTGCGACTAAAGTATTCACAGCAGTGCCAAAATTTCTAGGTCATTGAATGTGGGTGCCAGCGACCTACAAGCAAACAAAAAATGAAATCAATACGACCACTCACATTACAGCTGGGTCATGTTATAGAGAGATGCATTAAAATTGACAGGTGGTCAAATATGGTCAAAATTTGACAATTTCTCACCTTTCTTCCCGTTTCAAGCTCAGAACTTGAATAATGACCATCCTGATCCTGTTTTATAGCTGGACATAGGGAGGTGCACCAAGAAAAAAGCCACATTTCTCTAAACAACTCGCCCAGGGCTGCTGAAAGCTGAAAATAACCTCACTTAAAGTTTGGGGCTTGTCGCCGTGAATCTTCACATTGCGACTAAAGTATTCACAGCAGTGCCAAAAATTCCAGGTTATTAAATGTGGGTGCCGGCGGCCTACCAGCAAACAAAAAATGAAATCAATACGACCACTCACATTCCAGCTGGGTTATGTTATAGGGAGATGCATTAAAATTGACAGGTGGTCAAATATGGTCAAAATTTGACAATTTCTCACCTTTCTTCCCGTTTCAAGCTCAGAACATAAATAATGACCATCCTGATCCTGTTTTATAGCTGGACATAGGGAGGTACACCAAGAAAAAAAGCCACATTTCTCTAAACAACTCCGCCAGGGCTGCTGAAAGCTGAAAATAACCTCACTTCAAGTTTGGGGCTTGTCGCCGTGAATCTGCACTTTGCGACTAAAGTATTCACAGCAGTGCCAAAATTTCCAGGTCATTGAATGTGAGTGCCAGCGGCCTACAAGCAAACAAAAAATGAAATCAATACGACCACTCACATTACAGCTGGGTCATGTTATAGAGAGATGCATTAAAATTGACAGGTGGTCAAATATGGTCAAAATTTGACAATTTCTCACCTTTCTTCCCGTTTCAAACCCAGAACTTGAATAATGACCATCCTGATCCTGTTTTATAGCTGGACATAGGGAGGTGCACCAAGAAAAAAGCCACATTTCTCTAAACAACTCGCCCAGGGCTGCTGAAACCTGAAAATAACCTATCTCCAAGTTTGGGGCTTGTCGCCGTGAATCTTCACTTTGCGACTAAAGTATTGACAGCAGTGCCAAAATTTCCAGGTCATTAAATGTGGGTGCCAGCGGCCTACCAGCAAACAAAAAATGAAATCAATACGACCACTAGCATTCCAGCTGGGTTATGTTATAGGGAGATGCATTAAAATTGACAGGTGGTCAAATATGGTAAAAATTTGACAATTTCTCACCTTTCTTCCTGTTTCAAGCTCAGAACATAAATAATTACCATCCTTATCCTGTTTCATAGCTGGACATAGGGAGGTGCACCAAGAAAAAAAGCCACATTTCTCTAAAGAACTCACCCAGGGCTGCTGAAAGTTGAAAATAACCTCACTTAACAAGGTGGCAGGCTACCTTCAGAATTGGGAAAAATCGAATTTTTGATTTGAGGTTAACTGTGATACTTTTCTGATTGGGGTGGCCACAAAGCATTAGAATTTAAAATTTTGGGTCAATCGGTCCAGTGGCTCCGGAGTTATAGTGGATTGTAAGTGCGACAATTACAAAATTGAATATGAAATAAATTGCATGAAATTGCAAAAACAATTAAAATTTTCACCAAAGTCATTTTTGCGCTATTTTCATCAATTTCGATCGTAGCGCGCTAATTTTTTGACGCGAGCTAGCGGGCCTCCTCGGTGATCCGTTGCCGTGGCAATCATTTCCAAAATGGCTGCCCTTCATGACGTACGCGTGGTAGACAGTCAGCTGACATCAAAATAAATTTTGTCAGCGAAGTGTCAGCATGCAAAGCAAATAATTGTTGTAGCTTTGTTTCATCAAGCCTTGTCAGTTTTGTTTTGACATTGCTGGAGACGTAAGCCGTGGTGGATCATCTGCCATGGGTAACAAACGCAAGAGCAGGGTTCTCAGCAGGCCAAAGAAGTGCCTTCCCCCGCGGAAAAGGACTGTCTTGGCTCGTGAAGAGCCCACAACTGAAGATGGTGATTTGGACGTATTCGTCGCAGCATCTGAGGATGTTGCAAATCAATCTTCCGTGGCATCTGATTCTTGTACTGGTGATTCAAGCGATGAGGTTATGTCCTGCGACGAGTCTGATGATGATGATGATGATGACAGTTCGGACGAGCACAACAGTGGTAGCAGAATCGTCCACTTGCCATCCCTGACACGTATTCTTGGCTCATCATGTGTCTGTGCCAACTGCAAGACTGGGTCATTGCTCGTCCAGGAGTCGACTCGATATGGCCCAGCCCCAATTCTTGAGCTTACCTGCGATCATTGTGGGCATGTATTTGAGGGCCGCCTTGCTGAAAAACATACACCAATGCGATTTTATGATGTGAACAGACGTTCAGCAATGGCCATGCGGATGATTGGCAAGGGAAGAGAAGCACTGAGGATGTTCTGTGCCATCATGGATATGCCTGAGCCCATGTACGGACGGTCGTTCCAGTCTCACTGTTCAGCATTGCATGATGCAGCAGTTGAAGTTGGGACAAATAGCATGCGGCACCATGCTGCAGAGTTACTGGCTATGCGGCAAGCGAGTGGATCTGACCATCCGTCACACGTGGCGTAAGCACTGACGGCACATGGATGCGGCGTGGGTACTCTTCTGTGTTTGGTGTCCAAACAGGAATTGCGTACGACACACTCAAGGTGGTGGATGTGGAGGTGTTATCGAAGCATTGCAACCATTGCAAGGTTTGGGACAACAAACGCGACACGAAGACAGTCACGGCAGCGGAGTTTGCCACCTGGAAGGCTGCACATGCTGACAGCTGCGACATCAACACCAATGTCTCAACACCAGCCATGGAGACTGCAGCAGTAGTGAAGATTTGGAATCGATCTGAGGCTCTCAATGGCCTTCGCTACACATCCTACATTGGCGATGGTGATTCGAAGGGATTTCAAAAAGGGTTATGCAGACAAGGCCAAAGAGACGGAAGGCGTTACGTACTGTCCTGGTGGGTTTTGAGTGCTAAAAGTTGCCCTTTTTGGGGGGTACCGTGTGACCTTTGGTACACCATATCTCCAGTTTGGTATGTCCAAATCCAGTAAACTATATATGTATTCATATCTACGTCAAATTTGCAAGGTGCTCACGTCTCTACTTTTGAAGATTTTGTCACATCTACTGACGTATGGGCACAGAAAGATAATTGGACCAACGGCGCGTTCTTTACGTGATTTCTTTATGTGTGTGTCAGCCAGATTCTTTACATCTAGAAGCATAAATCTCTTCGTGAGCATCTAGTACTGAGCAAGAACACTCATTATGTAACATAAGTATCTGGCTATTGCTAAAATCCTTGCAGAAAACTTGTACCAAAAATTTGTTGACCGCATTTTTGCGATATTCTTGTTTGGTGTGTCCAGCATCCTGTTCTCCAAGTCAAAATGCATGTGTGGTGGTTGTTCAAGTGTTCTTTATTATCTGACCAGCATGTGTAGAAAATTTGGTGCAAAAATAATGAGGGATGCCAATGTTACAGACATTTGAATGCATGTATGTTATCGGCAGGCGCCGAAGGTAGCCTGCCACCACATCACCCAAAAATTTCATATGGCATTCAATTGACCGTAACTTTGGTGTTTCTCAGTGGATTTGAGTGAAATTTTGACCACACACTCCTGCCACTATGGTGGCCCTCAGGACATGATTTACAAGTTCCTGCGCCTCACTGACAGGCTTTCCAGGCCGGAAAACTCAAATTTCCGGCATAGTGCTACGGTGTGCGAGCCACCCAGGAGCCAAACAAATGCATTTACATTTTTTTCACATTTTCGTGCCCATTCTGTCCGTGCGCGGGACCCAAACCTAAAACAAGTCCAGAAGCAGCCATGGGTGGTGGGGTAGGGCCCCTCAACGTGGCCCTGGAATCTGTCACAACGGAACGAGTGGGCGTTCTTTCACGGACTCCCACAGACCCAAGTCAATTTTTGAATTTTTTTTAGGTTTAGCACGTGCTACGAGGTCGTACCTTTGATACAACATCCAGTGCTGGGACCTCCACGGCAAGCCATTTCCACAGCGCTGCACACCAAATCCAGGATGCCCTCAGAAACCGGCAAAGACTGCCACTCACGTTTCACTACTGCCTAGTACTGAATCCTACCTGACTTTTTGACACGACTCAAACTTGCCAAAGTCACTAAATCAACGTCAACTACAATAATCAAGCCACATATCTGCAACGTCACGAGGGTGCTGGCAAAAGTCCTGCTGCACGAAGCCCGCCGCCGTGCAGCCCAATACGTGGTTTTTTAACGTGATTTTTTGGACTTTTTTGGACTTGGGGCAAAATTCTGCACACTTTCGCGTGTTTCCATAATACGACAAGTTGCGCACGGTCTGCTCACATTCAAATACAGTGCTGCCAACAAATGACAGCATGCAACAAAAAAATCTTTCCTTGCAAGGGCACATTTTCCGCCATAACTCTTGAACGGCTGGTCAGATAGGGACACAGTTTTCAGAGAATTTGCAGCTATTCATGCTCTTTCAACTGACGTAGCACTCGATATGAATTTACAAATTCGATTTTTCAGCGAATTTTTGGGTGATGTGCCCCCTTAAAGTTTGGGGCTTGTCGCCGTGAATCTTCACTTTGCGACTAAAGTATTCACAGCAGTGCCAAAATGTCTAGGTCATTGAATGTGGGTGCCAGTGGCCTACAAGCGAACAAAAAATGAAATCAATACGACCACTTACATTACAGCTGGGTCATGTTATAGAGAGATGCATTAAAATTGACAGGTGGTCAAATATGGTCAAAATTTGACAATTTCTCACCTTTCTTCCAGTTTCAAGCTCAGACCTTGAAAAATGACCATCCTGATCCTGTTTTATAGCTGCACATAGGGAGGTGCACCAAGAAAAAAGCCACATTTCTCTAAACAACTCGCCCAGGGCTGCTGAAACCTGAAAATAACCTATCTCCAAGTTTGGGGCTTGTCGCCGTGAATCTTCACTTTGCGACTAAAGTATTCACAGCAGTGCCAAAAATTCCAGGTCATTAAATGTGGATGCCAGCGGCCTACCAGCAAACAAAAAATGAAATCAATACGACCACTCACATTACAGCTGGGTTATGTTATAAGGAGATGCATTAAAATGGACAGGTGGTCAAATATGGTCAAAATTTGACAATTTCTCACCTTTCTTCCCGTTTCAAGCTCAGAA